TCGTCTCCTCCCCATGACCCTTCTGTAAGGGGATGTCCAGTTGTGGTGGCTTTTTCTTGATGGTCATGGGATTCCTATGCCCCTGCTTCTGAGAGGGCTCATATACATACCCAGTGGAATGGAAAAACTGACCAATCCCCACTATTAGTGCTTCACACACCCTATTTGCATGGTCCCACCCAGTCAGTTTGGTGGTAGATACAAAGTTGTAGATAGAAGAGCCATATTGAGCAATTTCACTGCACCACAGGCAATCCTGCAATAACAATAGTAATTTATGAGTAGACACATAGGTCAATATGCAAGCTGAGCAGGCGTGGGATGGTGTATGGGAATGTACCCATAAGTATAAATGGGTTTGGCAGACGATATTTCTATATATGCATTTGTTTGGGCTGCAAGTATATCCATGAAAATAATGAAGCAGACAAAGGGCAAAGTTATGTAAACTTCTTAGACATAACCAAACACTCCGAGGGACCGAGTCTCTGGGCTCAAGGGTTTAGGGCCATTGGGGAACTTCAAGGTTAATTGGTTTAACATAGTCCTTAAAGACATTATTCTACATAACTTTGGTGAGTAGTGGCCAGGTTCTTAAAAGCTTGTAAGCTAATCAAGAGAGGGAAATCAAAACAACAATGAGGAGCCATCTGACTCCTGCACTGATAGCCAAGTTAAAAAAACAAAAAACCCACAGAAAATTATAGCTGGAGAGATTGTGGAGAGTTTGAAATGTTTATACGCTGCTGATGGGACTGCAAAACCGTACAACTACCATGGAAAGTGCTATGGTACTTCCTCCACAAAATGGGAATGCAAATGTCACATGACCCAACAACCTCTCTACTCTGTATACACCCTGAAGAAACAAGGCGCAAAACATGAACAGATATATATGCACATGCTTATCATAATAGCAAATAGTTGGAAATAACCCAAATGCCTGTCAGTGGAGGAATGACTAAATAAACTTTGGTGCATACACACAATGGAATACTACACACCAGTAAACAATAATTATGAGACTGTCGGACACCTCATGATACGGATGGATTTTAAAGATATTATGCCAAGTGAAACTAGCCAATCATAGAAAGAAATATTGAATGAGACCACTGTTATAAAACAAAAAAAGATCAAGGTGTACATACCAAAAGAAACAGACTTTGATGGTTGTGGGTACAGTGGGGCAAAGACACGAGGGGAAGGGAGGGAAAAATATATTTTTTAAAAAGCTGGCGACTGGCCATGTAAAAGATGTCCAGTTGCCTCTTTCTTGTAGTGTAAAGAAGAATGAAGAAAATCAGTCTCAAGGGACAAATGGACTAGCAGAACACAAGCACTCTACAGCTTCCACTAACCTGAGACCAAAGGACTGGATGTTGTCCAGCAGCTATTATGGACCACTCTGATTCGGGTCCCACTTGAAGACCCAACGCAAAGTGGGAGACAGGGTGGTTGGAAACGGATTGTGATAGAAATTGTGCAATTCTATTTGACATGATTGAAATATGGAGTGAAATGTTATATGTATTAAATCCCAACTAATTAAAAAAAGAAAACAAGGAAGGAGAGAAAAAAAAGAAGTAGAACAAATTCAAAATAATAAAAAGAGACCACACTTACTGGTTCAGTAGAGATCGAAAGAACCCCCAAGACTATGGCTGTTAGATACCTTTTAAACCAGAACTGAACCCACTCTCCAAGGTGGCCTTTCAGCAGAAGAATAGACTGACCTATAAAGTGAACAATAACATTTGTGAAGAACTTTCTCTGCAGAGACCGAAAGGGCAGCATTTGTCCCAAATGCAAGTTTAGAAGACAGCACTTTCCCAGGGGCAGGAAAGATAGGTAAGTGGAAAACAGGGAATCCAGGTAGGAAGTGGGAAGAGTGCTTTTCCACTGCGGGGATTCCAATGAACGCCATGAAATAAAATGTGTATACAGGGTTGAAGGGAAAACAAATTTGCTTGATACACTTTCACCCACACAACAACAGAGTAAAAAACAAGAGTAAGATATGGAAGAGGATCAGCATACATGGGGCTACATCATTGAAATAAGACAAGTGAAACAACTCAGACCGAGGCAAGGAGAGAGAATGTCCTCACCTTCTTCCCTGCCAGGCCATTACCCTCTGCAGGCAGTGTCGCCTCGGAAACAGTGGGAAGATGACGAGTCTCCCGCTGTCTGTGGTGACATCTGGGTTATTGTCCACCCTGGGCACACCCGTGTCATTGCAATCCTTTATTTTCAGGCGGATTCCACTGGACTAAAGGCCTCAGCTGTTGAAAGCAAAAGTGCAAAATGGCCTTTCGGTATTAATGACTGCCTTAGCCTGGATAGAGCTGCTTCAAATGGGTTCTTATATTGTCAGAAGAATTTTATTTTTAACCGCTGCTTTTCTCTTTACAAATTTCAAACATAGGAATGGAGATGGAAGAATACAATGAGTCCATATGCTTCCACCAGAGCCTTGTCTCCATGTTCAACAATTAACTATCCGTGGTCAATATTGTTTATCTCTAGACTCTAGCCACTTGCCTTCAACTTTTATTTTGAAGCAGCATCCTAGCATTTCTTTCTTAAATCTTTTATTTAATAGCTCTACAAGATCGGGGTGAAGACCCTAGACAGAGTGGGAAATAGATGGAAATAACCTCAATGCCCATCATTGGAGGAATGGATAAATAAACTTGGGTACATACATACCATGGAATACTACACAGCCCTAAACAATAATGAGGAAACTGTCAAACACCTTATGGCATGGATGGATTTGGAAGATATTATGCTGAGTGACAACAATATCAACATTATATCTTAAAAACCTTCCTAATGTTATCAAACACCTGTTGTTGCTGGGTACTGTCAGGTCCGTACTAACTCACAATGACCCGATGTCCAACAGAACCAAATACTGCCCTCCTGCACCCTCCTCACAACTGTTACTAGGTTTGAATCCATGTTGCAGCCACTGTGTCAATCCATCTTGCTGAAGGTCTTCTTTTTTGCTTCCCCTCTACCAAGCAAGCTGCCCTTCTCCAAGGACTAGTCTCTCCTGATAATCTGTCCAAAGTCTATGAAACAAAGTCTCACCATCCTTGTGTCTAAGGAGCCATCTGGCTGTAAATCTTTGTGTCCAAGGAGGCTTCTGTTCTTCCGAGACAGATTTGTTGGTTGTTTTGGCAGTCCATGGTGCTTTCAATATTCTTCACTAGTACCATCATCTGAATGCATTGATTCTTCCTCTGTTTTCCTTATTCAATGCCCAATTTCCACATGCATATTAAGTGAATGAAAATACTATGGCCTATATGAAAATAATAATAATTTATAACTTATCAAGGGTTCATGATAGAGGGAGAAAAAATTGAGGAGCTGATACCAAGGGCTCAAGTAGAAAGAAAATGTTTTGAAAAGGATGATGGCAACATATGTACAAATGTGCTTGACACAAAAGAAATATGGATTGTTATAGGACCTGTAAGAGCCCCAATAAAATGATTTATTAATACAAAAAAGAAAATGCCATGGCTTGAGTCAGGTGCACTTTAGTCCTCAAAGTGATGTCTTGGCTCTTCAACACTGTGCAGAGTTCTGTGTGGCAGGTTTACCCTAAGCAATACATCATTTGATCTCTTGACTAATGCTTCCATGAGCATTATTGTGGATCCAAGCAAGATGAAATCCTTGACAGAGTCAACCTTTTCTCCATTTAGCATGATGTTACCTATTCGTCTAGTTGTAAAGATTTTGATTTTCTTTACATTGACTTGTAATGCATATTGAAGGATGCAATCCTTGATCTTCATCAGCAAGTGCTCCAAGTCCTTACTTTCAGCACACGAGGTTTCTCCATCTGCAGATTCCAAGTTATTAATAAGTCTCCTTCCACTCCTGATAGTAGTCCAGCTTCTTTGATTATCTGCCCAGCATACAAATTGAATAAGGATGGTGAGAGGATACAATCCTGACACACACCTTTCTTGATTTTAAACCATGCAGCACTCCCTTGTTCTGTTTGCTTAACTGTCTCTTGATCGATGTGCAGGCTCTGCAGGAGCACACTTAAATGTTTGGGAATTCCTAGGCTTCTTAAGGCTATCCATAGTTTGTTTTAATCCACACAGCCAAATGCGTTGGCATAAGCAATAAGACACAAGCCAACATATTTCTGGTATTCTCTGCTTTTACCCAAAGTCCATCTGACGTCAGCAAAGATCTCCCTGGTTCCATGTCCTCTTCTGAGTGCAGCCTGAATCTCTGGCAGCTCCCTGTAAATGCATTGCTGCAACTGTTGTTGAATGATCTTTAGCAAAAATTTTACTTGCTTGTGATATCAATGATATTGTTGTATAATTTGTGTATTCTCTTGAGTCACCTTTCTTTGGATCGGGTACACATTTGAATCTCTTCCAATCAGTTGGCCCGGTAGCTAGCTGTCGTCCAGATTTCTTGGCATGGGTGAGTAAGTGCTTCCAGTGCTTTAATAGCTTGTTGAAACATTTCAATTGCTATTTCATCCATTCCTGGAAACTTGTTTTTGGCTACTGCCTTCAGTGCAGCTTGAACTGATTTCTCAGTACCATTGGTTCTGGATTATATGCTCCTTTTTGAAATGGTGGAATGTTGACTGACTAGTGCTTGTTAGTACAGTGACTGTATTTTTTCCATCTTCTTTTGATTCTTCCTGCATCATTCAATATTTCCCCCATAGAATCTCTTAATAATGCAATTTGAAGATTAACTTTCTTCTTCATTTTTAAAATTTTCAGCTTCAGCTATCCTTCTTGATTTTCTGTCTGTAGGTCTTTGCACATTTCAATAAAATACTTCACTTTGTCTTTGCAAGCTGCCCTTTGAAACTTTCTGTACAGTTATTTTACTTCATCAGGAGCCCTGGTGGCAGAGTGGGGTACTGGTTAGGTTGCTAACCACAAGGTTAGTCATTCACCAGCAGCCATACCATGGGAAAGAGATGAAGTTTCTACTTCTATAAACAGTTACAGTCTCAGAAGTCCACAGGGGGCAGTTCTACTCTGTCCTAGAATTTTGCAATGATTTGGAATCATCTTGAAGGCAGTGATTTAATCAGACATCTAGTCTGTTCAAATATTGTTTTGTTAATTTTTAAAAACATTTTGGACCACTATCCAAATAAGCTTCACACATTGTAATTGTTGAAATGCCTTTTAAGACTTTTCTTATCCGTGAGCTGGACCTCTCCATTTCTTTTACTGTTTGTATCTGTTTCCCTTGGAAATAAGGAAACTGTGCTGTCCTTCAGATCTCCTCATGGTCTAATTTGTTCTTATTACCTCCTCCTGGTGTCCTTTAACATGCTACTCTGACTTCTGTACTTCTGATAGATTTATAGTTAAAGCTTGGCTTTCCAGATCCAGATTTTATTACTTTGGATAAGGCTACTTCTTAGATGATACTATTTGTATTAGTTATCTATTGCTTCACCAAAAATCACTCTAAATGTAGAGATTTAAAAGAGCAACAAGCATTTATAGTATTGCACTATGCCTCTAGGTGAAGAATCTAGGAATGGTTCAGTTCAGGGTGGTTTGAACTCAGGGCTTCTGATGAGGATGGAGTCAAGATGTCAGCTGGTATTGCTGTCATCTGAAGGCGTGACCAAAGCAGGAGGACATTCTTCCAAGAGAGGTCATTGGTCTATTACTGGCACATTGGTGCTGGCTTTTAGCAGGAAACCTGTTTCTTACCACATGGATCACTTTTGTAGGACTGCTTGTTTCCCCCAGAGCAAGCAATCCGAAAGAGGTCAAGGTGAAAGTTACAATGTCTTTTATGACTTACGCTGGACGTATTGTAAAATACTGTAAAAACAATCTTTTTAGGATCCTTTATTGGTCACACAAGTCAACCTTACTCATTGTGTTTGTATTTGGGTTGGAGAGGGCTACAGAGGGATATGAATACGGGAAATGAGGATCATTGGGAGCAATCTTAGAGGCTGGGACCACACTGTTTTTCCATCAGCAGGTTCATAGGTCTTTTTGCTTCTCTCTTGGTGATGTTAGCAACCCTGATACTCAATGCCTGGATTACTAACATAGTAAGTGTTGCAAAATGGTTATATTCCTTTTTTTCAATCATTTTATTAGGGGCTCATACAACTCTTATCACAATCCATACATACATCAATTGTGTAAAGCGCGTTTGTACATTCATTGCCCTCATCATTCTCAAAACATTTCCTCTCCACTTAAGCCCCT